GGCAAAAGGGGGGGGTTGGCCTGTACATTGCAGAGTCACTTGTTTGCACAGAACTGCTTAATGCCTCAAATGACGTAGTGGAAGTTTTAGCAGTAAAGGTCGAGAACCAAAACCTAGTCATTGTGGTAGTCTACAAGCCTCCGGATGCAACATCCCAGCAATTCCAGGAACAGCTGTTAAAAATTGACCACTGTCTGGAAAATCTTCCAGCTCCTGCACCCAACATCTTGCTCCTGGGGGATTTCAACTTAAGGCACCTAAAATGGAGGATTATAGCAAATAATATTGTTGCAGTAATAACACCAGGAGGCAGCTCTGATGAAAACTCACACTCACACGAGCTTTTAAATCTCTGCACAAAATTCAATTTAAACCAGCAAATAATAAAGCCTACTAGACTGGAGAATACACTAGACCTCATATTCACTAACAATGATGATCTGATAAGAAATGTCACCATATCAAAACAATATACTCAGATCACAACATAATTGAGGTTCAGACATGTATGCGAGGAGCCCCAGACCGACAAAATGAGACTAGTCACGAGGGAGCATTCACCAAATTCAACTTCAATAACAAAAACATAAAGTGGGACCAAGTAACCAAGTCCTAACCGATATAAGCTGGGAAAGATATACTAAGCAACACAGACCCAAACTTATGCCTAGAACAGATTAACTCGGTGGCACTCGATGTATGCACAAGGCTTATTCCTCTAAGAAAAAGGAGGAGTAGATGTAAAATAGAAAGAGACAGGCGCTCCCTTTACAGGCGACGGAAAAGAATAACAGAGCGGCTAAAAGAGGTCAATATATCTGAAATGCGTAGGGAGACACTGGTCAGAGAAATTGCAAGCATCGAACTTAAGCTAAAAGAATCCTTTAGGAGTCAGGAATTGCGGGAAGAACTAAAAGCTATAAATGAAATCGAAAGAAACCCAAAGTATTTCTTCTCCTATGCCAAATCAAAATCGAGAACAACGCCCAGTATTGGGCCCCTACTTAAACAAGATGGGTCCTACACAGATGACAGCAAGGAAATGAGTGAGCTACTCAAGTCCCAATATGACTCAGTTTTAGCAAGCCGCTAACCAGACTGAGAGTCGAAGATCAAAATGAATTTTTTATGAGAGAGCCACAAAATTTGATTAACACAAGCCTATCCGATGTTATCCTGACGCCAAATGACTTCGAACAGGCGAATAAATGACATGCCCATGCACTCTGCCCCGGGCCAGACTCATGGAACTCTGTGTTCATCAAGAACTGCAAGAAGCCCCTATCACGAGCCTTTTCCATCCTATGGAGAGGGAGCATGGACACGGGGGTCGTCCCTCAGTTACTAAAAACAACAGACATAGCCCCACTCCACAAAGGGGGCAGTAAAGCAACAGCAAAGAACTACAGACCAATAGCACTAACATCCCATATCATAAAAATCTTTGAAAGGGTCCTAAGAAGCAAGATCACCACCCATCTAGAAACCCATCAGTTACACAACCCAGGGCAACATGGGTTTAGAACAGGTCGCTCCTGTCTGTCTCAACTACTGGATCACTACGACAAGGTCCTAAATGCACTAGAAGACAAAAAGAATGCAGATGTAATATATACAGACTTTGCAAAAGCCTTCGACAAGTGTGACCATGGCGTAATAGCGCACAAAATGCGCGCTAAAGGAATAACAGGAAAAGTCGGTCGATGGATCTATAATTTCCTCACTAACAGAACACAGAGAGTAGTCGTCAACAGAGTAAAGTCCGAGGCAGCTACGGTGAAAAGCTCTGTTCCACAAGGCACAGTACTAGCTCCCATCTTGTTCCTCATCCTCATATCCGACATAGACAAGGATGTCAGCCACAGCACCGTGTCTTCCTTTGCAGATGACACCCGAATCTGCATGACAGTGTCTTCCATTGCAGACACTGCAAGGCTCCAGGCGGACATCAACCAAATCTTTCAGTGGGCTGCAGAAAACAATATGAAGTTCAACGATGAGAAATTTCAATTACTCAGATATGGTAAACATGAGGAAATTAACCCTTTGAGGGTTTTCGTCGTACTAGTACGTCTTACGCGTAGGGGTTTTTGACGTACTAGTACTCATAAATTCTAGCGGCCTCAAATCTAGTGGGAGAAAGCTGGTAGGCCTTCATATGAAAGAATGGGTCTATGTGGTCAGTGTGCACAGTCTAAAAAAAATCCTGCAGCACACAGTGCATAATGAGAAAAAAAAAACTTTGACCATTTTTTTTGAATAAATCAGCGACTTTGCAGTGTATTTTCGTATGGTATTTATTGTTGTATTCTAGTTTTCTTGGTCTCATTTTATAGAATGGAAGGCATATTACAGAAATTGAGATGATTTTGACTGGTTTTACAAAGAAAGGTGCCTTGAAATTGAGCTCAAAGTAGCAGAAATGTTCGATTTTTACCAAACTTCAAAAGTAAACAAATCGTGCCAAGCGTGCAATACACGTCAACTGGTGAGTCTAATATTCTTTCACAAGTGCATCAATAATATTTTATACCATTTTTTACACTAATGCAGTAGTCTGCATAACAGTAAATCTTATATTTTTTGTGAAAATAAAAATTCAAAGTGGAAAGCAAAAGAATATAAGAGGGGCCTTGAGACGTGACTAATGACTAGAGGAAATGTCGTTTTAGTGCCAGGAATGTCTTTCTTGTTTATTCTGGACCCTATTCGGAAATTGGCATCTTTTGAAATTTGTGTGAAATTGGCAAAATTGCTAAATTCTGACCACTGTACTGGATAGTTGAATTTCATAAATGAGTGGTTTCTTGCACCCATTCGATAGAAAAAATGGAGTTCTAGCGAAATATTCATGTTTTTTGTCGACTAGTACAGTGAAATTGGCCGAAAATGGGGCTCAAAGTGGGCAAAATCGCCGATGCGTAAACATCGCCGAGACCGCTAACTTTGCGAGAGCATAATTCCGTAAGTTTTCTATCAAATTTCAAACTTTTGGTGTCTTTATGATCGGGAAAAGATTCTCTATCTTTTCATAAGAGAAAATAATTTTTTTTTTTTTTAAATTTGGCCGACCCTGAGAACGAGTTTCGGAGAGGGCCTGTCGACCCTCAAAGGGTTAAATCTTCATCAGAGTACAAAACAAATTCTGGCCACAAAATAGAGCGAAACACCAACGTCAAAGACCTGGGAGTGATTATGTCGGAGGATCTCACCTTCAAGGACCATAACATTGTATCAATCGCATCTGCTAGAAAAATGACAGGATGGATAATGAGAACCTTCAAAACTAGGGAGGCCAAGCCCATGATGACACTCTTCAGGTCACTTGTTCTATCTAGGCTGGAATATTGCTGCACTCTAACAGCACCTTTCAAGGCAGATGAAATTGCCGACCTAGAAAATGTACAGAGAACTTTCACGGCGCGCATAACGGAGATAAAACACCTCAATTACTGGGAGCGCTTGAGGTTTCTAAACCTGTATTCCCTGGAACGCAGGAGGGAGAGATACATGATTATATACACCTGGAAAATCCTAGAGGGACTAGTACCGAACTTGCACACGAAAATCACTCACTACGAAAGCAAAAGACTTGGCAGACGATGCACCATCCCCCCAATGAAAAGCAGGGGTGTCACTAGCACGTTAAGAGACCATACAATAAGTGTCAGGGGCCCGAGACTGTTCAACTGCCTCCCAGCACACATAAGGGGGATTACCAACAGACCCCTGGCAGTCTTCAAGCTGGCACTGGACAAGCACCTAAAGTCAGTTCCTGATCAGCCGGGCTGTGGCTCGTACGTTGGTTTGCGTGCAGCCAGCAGCAACAGCCTGGTTGATCAGGCGCTGATCCACCAGGAGGCCTGGTCACAGACCGGGCCGCGGGGGCATTGACCCCCGAAACTCTCTCCAGGTAAACTCCAGGTAATACCCTAAATTGTCCGATTATAACATTATACCCCAAACTTCCCCATTACTATATCACATCCTAAACTGCAAACTCAGAGCTAAAATGCTACTCCAAATTGTTATACAAGTAAGATGCAATACATAAAAACATATAAACACTAAAAGATACATTTGGCAAATGCACGTTTACAGTTTATAAGACCTTGATGACTCTCCCTTCGGGAGAACAAGGAATGCAAGCTCCTTGAGGGAAGGAGTAAGGTAGCTTGGAATGCTCGCTCCTTGGGGGGGCACACACGTGACGCTCGCTCCATGGGGAAGGGGGCACAGGATGCTCACTCCTTGGATGGGAGTGATATAATCACTCTTTGGGGGAGTATAGAATGCTCTCTGAGGAAGCATGAGATACTCCCTATTGGGGAGGAAGAACAGGATACTCACTCCTTGGGGAGGAAGAACAAGATGCTTACTCCTTGGGAAAGGAAGAACAAGATGCTTACTCCTTAGGGAAAGGAAGCACGCTGCTTGTTCCTTGGGGGTAGTATGGGATGATGATTATCATCGACATTTCTCAGCTTTGTAAAATCTGCCCTTCGTATTACCTTTACATCTCTACAAAATGCTGCGCACATTGACTTTCCAGCTTCAATACATGTAGTACATAGACTAAATTTTATATTTCCTAAGATTCTAGAAAATGTTTTTATGTAATGTCTGGAATTTTTTTTTTTTGCATTATTATTCCACGATATCCTCAAATCAACTAATGTTAGTACAGTATACAGTAAATATAAAATGATAAAAATCCACCAGTATTAGTTCACAGCAAACTTTTGGTCCTGAGCCTCTGGTCATGGTCATACAGCTATGTTAAACACTCTTGAAACTTATACAAGACACTTACTAACCTTAAGCTCAAACCAAATCAGGAAAAAATAAACAGAAATAAAACACCCATTGTTAGTCAATCCTTTGCCACTGTTCTGGAAAAATGAAAAGGTTGTCTTGTAAGTTTTCCAAGAAACTAAAAGCTAATTTATCAAAAGTAATAAAAAATTTATTCAAATCAGAATTCCAATGGAATTCTTCACCTCTTGTGGCTGCGGTCCCTAAGGGCATCATGATGAAACGAGTGGCGATGATGCTGACTGTGATAGGCATGGTGATTGTGGTGGTGGTGGTTGTGGTGAGGAGGCAAATGCAACACCAAGTGCTTCTTTTTGTTTTCCCGCAGATTTGAAGGACTTGCAGGAGGAAAAGTGAGTAGCATCGGAGGGCGAGAATTGGCAGAAGCTATGAAGGAGCTAGTGGGCACAGCCCTGGAGGGGGCCATGGGAGATGTGCTGACCATACTGGTTGATGCTGAAGGACTACTAGGAGATGAGGTGCAACATATTGCCACTTGCCTGCTGGTCGAACTCTTGACAATGACTCTGGGCAGAGGTGGAGGAGATGGCGGAGGTGGTGGTGGTGGTGGTGGTGGTGGAGGTGGCCTTAAACATTGTCAAAAGTTTTGAGGAGTAATATATATTGTACCATATCTAGTAAACTTGAATAACATTGAATTTTTACATCCATATATTTGCAGTGTTATTAAATTATATTACAACAGCTGAAGGACTGGATCAGAGCAAGTAATGGTGCATTAGGAGTCTTTAATATTAATATAATACTGAATTAAAAACAAGCACTAAACCAGTATAGGTCATACACCAGGAGTCTTAGTAAATAATTTACCATCAAGTCCAACATTAATAACCCAAGTTTACACCAACTAGGCAATCAGTCTGAATAAATGATGCTTTAGTAAGCTGTGTCTAGTAACACATTACAGTACAGTAGATTCCCCACTTAAAACATAACAGCATTCCTGAAAATTGTTGGCAAATCGATTGTTCAAAACTCAGGAGCCTTTTTTCCTATACAGACATCTATGTTATAATCAGAGATGCATTCCTGAGCAATATTCCACATCCAACTTCATTTATTTTTAAAAATGAAATTAGACAACAATACACATACAATATTCAGAACTCATTCACTCTCTTACTCTCTCTCACTCTTTTAATCTCACTTCCACTCACACTCATTCTCTCTCTCATTCTTACTCACTCTTTCCCATTCCTGGCCCTCCATCCTATTCCCTCTGCTATTTCTTTACCCCTCTCCCTTTCTCGCATTCCCTGCCCTCTCCCATCTTAACTGACAATCCTTTACATTTGCTCTCCTTCCCCACTGTATTCCAGTTCTACACCATATTCCACTTCTTTACTGTACTCCACTAAAACAATATACTCTCCTTGCAAAATGTGCTCCACAATCCTCACACTGCACTCCACCTCCTAACCAACATTCTGCTGCACATGATTTCCTACAACACTGTACACAACTAAAAGAACCCAAGGTTGAACATTTAGGCATGGCAAGACATAGGGGCAGGTCTCCTTAAACCCAGTACCACTGTTCACCTAATAATAAATAGGACCAGGTTTAGAAGCGAGTGAACGTAGGTAAACTGCTCTGATTGAGCATATGATTCTACCCAACTTCCACAGTAATTAAAGATACAGATGCAGTGGATGGCTTCCTGAACTTTAGCACATTATAAGAAACACATCATGAATAGTGAAACTCCCAGACCACAATTTAATGTATGTCTATAGAACTTACAATTAACATTCCATATATGTATAGTAAAAATGCTATAATTAGTAATATAGTAAAACGTCAGCACAGTAATCAAGAAAGCATGGTACTAAGCCATGATGCAACTAATGATCATTTCAGACAACTGATTATCCCTACTGTTAGCCTCTGCTATAAAAACTGTCTGCATGATATCTGCATCACTAACTTGTATGCTTGACTCAGTTTCAACACAATCATCCATAGGGAATGTAAAGTATTATTAAAGATACTTTAAAGTTGTGTTTTGTCTCTAGTGTTACCTGTGAATGTTTAATTGCAATACTCAAATTACTTACAATACTCGTGTTAAAATTTTGTGAAAACCCGCAATCCTGAAATAAGCATAAAACCTTAGGACTACTGATACTCTCTCTGTATTCAAAGTTCAAGAAGGCTAATTTTATATACTATATAAAAAAAGCCCACGCTATACGGAACATTCAATGCTATACTGTACATCCAACAGAAAGGAGAGAGCCTGAGATGCATAGTAAAAATTATAGAAATTAAGGAGAGCCACAAACAAGAGATGCACATAGTAAAGCAAGATAAAAATGAGCTAATGCAGTACATTAGCTTCCATAAACTTGCAAATTATTAATAAAGTAAATAACTCAGATCATTGGAAATCCCAGGACTGCACTTTTTGTAATCATGAAAGTGAAAAAGAAAGTAATAATGATTAACTAAGGGATCAAGCTATATATTTCAACCAAGTTTCATCACACCAACCAATGTTAAGTCAAACATTGAAAACAAAAATAACCAATTAGGCAAACAATGCCATTCCAAGAAACTCATCATGAGTACAACACAAGTTAACAAGAAAGTCTTCTGTACCTCCACCCTGGAGACTATTATGTTACAAATATTTATCACTGCCAGTAAGAATGCCAGATTAGCTTTCAAAATTGAAAATACAAATATAAACGAAGACCTACAAAAATATTATCAATTATATATATGAAGATAGAATATGCTTTATTCTCATGACTATCAGCCCAAGTACTAAGGGAATAACCAGTAACTACTAACATATACATTCACACTTCATTTCCATACTTTTTGTTTTTTTAAACATTGGCCGTTTCCCACCGAGGCAGGGTGACCCCCCCCCCCCAAAAAAAAAGGAAAACATCATATATTTCAGTAACACTGAACAGTGATTTCATTATGTATATAATACTGTATTCCAACAAGCAAAAGTTTAACTCTGTATACAGTAGAACCCCCGTATCTACAAATTCAGTTTCCGCTGTTTACCTCAGCCCGAAAATATTAAGGAGGCCGCAATCTAAGATTTCATTTTTTATCGTCCAATTTCATTAATTTTTTTTATGTTTGAATAAAAGTGCATAAAACATGCTCATATAAAGTTTCATTAAGATCAGTTAAACAAATGAATAAAGAAATATATTGAAAACCGAATTTGGCAGCTAACAAGCACATACTGTACATGTACTGGCACTGTCAAGTCTTTTGCTGCAGCAGCAGCAGGAAGTAGTATTTTATTATTATTTAATGTTGGTAATATCATAGGTATGTATGTAAATGAAAACCAAAAAGTGAATGGGGTTCACTACTATCCACAGTCTGGGGCACCCCAGGTAGGTCTTGGAACGTATCACCTGTGGATATGGAGGGACTACTGTACTTAAATCTTTTACCTTATTTTTTTTGCAAGCAGATGTGAAAGAAAGTTTTTTACCCCTTGAACTAATGAGACCCTTCAAGATTCACTGATAAAACAATGAAAGTAACATTGGCATAAAGCTTACATTTGTGTTGTAGGATAACCAGAGGCAGGAAATTCCAAATTGTTTTGTGGACGGTCATTATTTAGTCTTCCCTGGCCCGGAAATGCCAAGCGGAGATTACTTCGACGCCCTGTAAGGAAGGAGTGCTTTCGGTCATATAAATATGACCAAGAGTAACACATATTAATATCTAATAAAAAGAAGATATGTTTACAAATATGAAATAGAACCCCATCCAGCAGGTTTAATTTTTTTTTTTAACACGTCGGCCATCTCCAACCAAGGCAGGGTGACCCAAAAGAAAGAAAAAACTTTCATTAGCAGTCAACACTTTCACCATCACTCAAATAATCACCGTCTTTGCGAGAGGCACCCAGATATGATAGTTCAGATAGTCACTCCAAACAATATTCATAAGCCCATGTTATCAATAATAAAATGTGTTCCCATGACTTGGAAGGGGTTAGAAACCACCGTTTGCCTTTCCACAATATATATGCCCTGTAACACACTTTAGGCCCTTCAAAACACACTTCAGATCCAACCAGACACACTTCTGGCTCTACCAGATACACATTAGGCCACACACTTCAGACCCTACCAGACACACACTTCAGGCCCTACCAGACACACACTTCAGGCCCTACCAGACAACACTTCAGGCCCTACCAGACACACTTCAGGCCCTACCAGACACACACTTCAGGCCCTACCAGACACACTTCAGGTCCTGCCAGACACACACTTCAGGCCCTACCAGACACACACTTCAGGCCCTGCCAGACACACACTTCAGGCCCTGCCAGACACTTCAGGTCCTACCTGGCACACATTTCAGGTCCTACCTGGCACACATTTCAGGTCCTACCTGGCACACATTTCAGGTCCTATCTGGCACACATTTCAGGTCCTATGAGAGAGAGATTTCAGTTCCTACCATACACCACACACTTCTGCCTTCCCCACCGGCCCATTCCCACCCACACTCGACCCCCTGGAGCCATATATAGGTGAGTACACACACACACCAACACATGACTTACTAGGCACACATTACAAGCCCTACCAGGTACACATTACAGGCCCTACCCAGCACACATTACAGATCCTACCACACACACATTACAGGTCCTACCAGACACACATTACAGGTCCTACCTGACACACATTACAAGCCCTACCAGGCACAAATTACAGGTTCTACCAGGCACACATTACAGGTTCTACCAGGCACACATTACAGGTACTACCAGGCACACATTACAGGACCTAACAGGCACACATTACAGGCCCTACAAGGAACACATTACAGGCCCTACAAAGAACATATTACAGGTCCTACCAGGCACACATAACAGGTCCTTCCAGGCACACATTATAAGCCCTACCAGGCACACATTATAAGCCCTACCAGGCACACATTACAGGTCCTACCAGGCACAATTGCAGGTCCTACCAGGCACACATTACAGGTCCTACCAGGCACACATTACAGGTCCTACCAGGCACACATTACAGGTCCTACCAGGCACACATTACAGGTACTACCAGGCACACATTAAGGGTCATACCAGGCACACATTAAGGGTCATACCAGGCACACATTAAGGGTCATACCAGGCACACATTAAGGGTCCTACCAGGCACATATTACAGGTCCTACCAGGCACATATTACAGGTCCTACCAGGCACGAATTACAGGCCCTACCAGGAACACATTACAGATCCTACCAGGCACACATTACAAGTCCTACCAGGCACACATTAGAGGTCCTACCAGGCACATATTACAGGACCTACCTGGCACACATTACAAGACCAACCTGGCACATTACAGGACCTACCTGGCACACATTACAAGTCCTACCAGGCACACATTACGGGTCTTACTAGGCACACATTACAGATCTTACCAGGTACCTGCTTCAGGCCCTGCCTAATCAAAATGTGTTTAATGGCATGGGTTCAAACCAATTGCATTACGTGTACAATTCAAACCCTTTCATCCACACACTTCAGGCTCTGCTAGATATAAACTTCAGGCTCTACCAAATGCAAACTTCAGGCTCTACCAGATATACACTTCAGGCTCTACCAGATATAAACTTCAGGCTCTACCAGATATACACTTCAGGCTCTACCAGATATACACTTCAGGCTCTACCAGATATACACTTCAGGCTCTACCAGATATACACTTCAGGCTCTACCAGATATACACTTCAGGCTCTACCAGATATAAACTTCAGGCTCTACCAGATATAAACTTCAGGCTCTACCAGATATACACTTCAGGCTCTACCAGATATACACTTCATGTCCTACAAGGCACACACTTCAGACTCTACCAAACACACACTTATGTCCCTACCATAAACACACTCTGCAGATTCCATAACACACACTCCAGGCCTACCTAAAACACTAAAGGCTTACCATGACACACTTCATGCCCTGCTTGACACATAAGAACTACCTGACACACTTCAGGACTACCTGACACACTTAAGGACGACCTGACACACTTCAGGACGACCTGACACACTTAAGGACGACCTGACACATTTAAAACAACCTGACACACTTAAGGACTACCTGACACACTTAAGGACTACCTGACACACTTAACAACCTGACACTTCAGAACAACCTGACACACTTAAGGACTACCTGACACACTTAAGGACTACCTGACACACTTAAGAACAACCTGATGCACTTCAGGACTACCTGACACACTTCAGGACTACCTGACACACTTCAGGACTACCTGACACACTTCAGGACTACCTGACACACTTCAGGACTACCTGACACACTTCAGGACTACCTGCCCACTTCAGGACTACCTGACACACTTCAGGACTACCTGACACACTTCAGGACTACCTGACACACTTCAGGACTACCTGACACACTTCAGGACTACCTGACACACTTCAGGACTACCTGACACACTTAAGGACTACCTGACACACTTAAGGACTACCTGACACACTTGAGGACTACCTGACACACTTGAGGATTATCTGACACACTTAAGGATTACCTGACACACTTAAGGACTACCTGACACACTCTAGGCCTACCTAACACTCCATGGCCTACCTGACACACTCCATGGCCTACCTGACACACTCTAGGCCTTCCTGACACACTCCATGGCCTACCTGACACACTCCATGGCCTACCTGACACACTCTAGGCCTTCCTGACACACTCCATGGCCTACCTGACACACTCCATGGCCTACCTGACACACTCCATGGTCTACCTGACACACTCCATGGCCTACCTGACACACTCTAGGCCTACCTGACACACTAGGCCTACCTGACACATTCCATGGACTACCTGACACACACTAGGCCTATTGACACACTCTAGGCCTACCTGACACTAGGCCTTCCTGACACACTCCATGGCCTACCTGACACACTCTAGGCCTACCTGACACTCTAGGCCTACCTGACACTCCATGGCCTACATGACACACACTAGGCCTACCTGACACACACTAGGCCTACCTGACACACACACTAGGCCTACCTGACACAGCACATGGCATGCCTAAGGAACCAAGCCTGTTGAGGCCTGGCTGCTGCTGCTGCTGCTGCTCCGCCATTATGTCTGGCGGGATAATCAGCTACTGGAGAGGACTCAGGTTACTGGCTACTCCTCGGCGGGCCCAGGAGCTGCCATTTCCACCATGGATAGGGCGGTGGAGCACTCAGAAGGCAGCAAAGTTCACCATTAACAAGAGTAAGTCATCTCCGCCACAGTTGTCAATAGTTCTGTCTCACAACACTACGAACTCAACATTATTTTTTTTTAATGGTGAGTAAGTGAGTTAATTTATTGAGGTAAAAGTACATGTAAATACAGTTATATAAATTATCATACATAAGAGCATATGTGTTGATTACCTAGGATAACCCCTCCCCCTCCAAAAAAAAAAGTCAAAATTACTTATTTTCATTGGGATCCTTGTAATATCTTATTTAAACCTTAAAATTAAGTGAGTGGGTTAATTTAGGATCAGGTACGCGTAAATACAAGTACATAAATTATCACACATAGTTATATATGTTTAAATTATCCATCAGGATAACCCCCAAAAAATCAGTGATTTAGTATTTCCAGTTTGATGTTTTATTTCCATTGTGTTCTTATTAAGTTTATTCAGGTACTGATACACCTAAATACAGTTACATAAATTATCATACGTACTAACATATGTAAATTACCTAAGATAACCCCGAAATAAGGTAATTTAATAAGGCCAAATTGACTTCCTTCCATTGAGGTCCATGGAACGGCTTGTGGCTTTATTTTGTGCTTAAGTAAGTAAGTTTATTTAGACAGAGGTACACAAAATTGCAATTATCATACATAGTGTAAATTACCCACCAGGATAATCCAAGAAAAAGGTCAGTCAAAGTAACTTATTTCTAATGGAGTCTATAAACCTAACCATATTTAATTATGTGTAAACAATATTAATTATATACTGCAGAGAATAACTAAATTTATTATTAATATTAATTTATTTTAAAAAATATGAGTAAGCTCGTAATCTCCTATACAAAACAAATGTATATTCTTCGCTAGACAATAATATTCTAGATAAATTTAGCAATGGACAAAAATAATGTTTGGTAAATATAGATACAAGTAATATAACAAGGTTCCTGGTGAGCGAAACGTTGCCACAATAAAATGTCACATTAGTTCTATCAAAGTTCATTTACCTAACATTATTTTTTTTAACTGCTTCTATGGTGACAAAATTATTTGCCTATATAATTATCAGGGTGGTCACCGCATTGGTATATTTTTGTCCATTCTAAAATTATCTGTAATATTATTATCTATTGAGGAAATTACATTTATTTTGAGAAGGAGATTACAAGCTTATTCATATTTTTAAATAATAATAATAATAATAATAATAATAATAATAATAATAATAATAATAATAATAATAAAAGGAATTATGTTAATAACCATAATATAATTATTTTTAAAATTTTATAATAAGTTTTATATACTTTATTTTTATCATCCAAGATTTAGTTCAGTCTGATCAGTTTTATTAAGGTTCCGAAGTTTTAGGCATCTATTGGTAATCCCCCTTATGTATTCTGGGAGACAGTTAAACAGTCTTGGACCCCTGACACTTTGTCTCTCAGTGTACTCATGGCATCTTGTTTTCATTGGGAGATGCTGCATCTCCTGCAGAGTTTTTTGCTTTCGTAGGGAGTCATTTTCGTGAGCAAATTTCGGATTAGTCTCTCTAAGATTTTCCAAGTGTATATATCATATATCTTTCTCACCTGCATTCCAGGGAGTATAAATCAAGGGACTTCAACCATTCCCAGTAATTTAAGTGCTTTATCGTACTTATATGTGCCTGTGAAAGTTCTCTCTGTATATCCTTAAGGTCTGTAATGTCGCCTGCCTTGAAGGAGGCAGTTAATGTACAGCAATATTCCAGCCTAGAGAGAACAAGCAATTTGAAGAGAATAATCATGGGCTTGGCATCCCTAATTTTGAAGGTTCTCATTATCCATCCTATCATTTTCCTAGCAGATGTGGTAGATATATTGTTGTGATCTTTGAAAGTGAGATCCTCTGACATGATCACTCCCAGGTCCTTCACATTAGTTTTTCGATCTGTTGTGTTGTTGGAATTTGTTTTATACTCCGATAAAGTTATGTCCTCGAGTTTTCTACAGCGGAGTAATTGAAATTTGTCTTCACTGAACTTCATATTGTTTTCCGCGGCCCATAGAAAAATTTGCTTGATGTCCGCTTAGAGACTTGCAGTGTCTTCGTGAGATGACACTGTCATGCAAATTCTGGTGTCACTATTCAGTGGACATTTGTGTCAGATATGAGGACGAAGAACAGGATGGAAGCAGGTATTACATCTTGTGGAACAGAACTTTTCACTGTGGCCACCTCATATTTTACTCTCTTTACTATTACTCTTTATATTGTGTGTGTTAAGAAGTTATACATCCATCTACCTAATTTTCCTGTTATTCCTTGATCATGCATTTCGTGTTCTATTACACCATGATCACACTTGTTGAAGGCTTTCGCAAAGTCTGTGTATACTACAACTGCATTTATTTTATCATCCAGAGCGGCCAAGACCATGTCATAGTGGTCCAGTAGTTGTGAGAGGCAGGATCGACCATCCAAGACCATGTCATAGTGGCCCAGTAGTTGTGAGAGGCAGGAGCGACCATCCAAGACCATGTCATAGTGGTCCAGTAGTTATGAGAGGCAGGAACGACAATCCTACACCATGTATTAGTGGTCCAGTAATTGTGAGAGGCAGAAACGACCATCCAAGACCATGTCATAGTGGTCCAGTAGTTGTGAAAGGCAGGAGTGACCATCAAAAACCATGTCATGGTGGTCCAGTAGTTGTGAGAGGCAGGAACGACTATCCAAGACCATGTCATAGTGATCCAGTAGTTGTGAGAGGCAGGAGCGACCATTTTAGACCATGCCATAGTGGTCCAGTAGTTGTAAGAGGCAGGAAAGAGCATCCAAGACCATGTCATGGTGGTCCAGTAATTATGAGAGGCAGGAGTGACAATCCAAGACCATGTCACAGTGGTCCAGTAGTTGTGAGGGGCAGGAGCGATCATTCAAGACCATGTCATAGTGGTCCAGTAGTTGTGAGAAGCAGGAGCGACCTTCCAAGACCATGTCATAGTGGTCCAGTAGTTGTGAGAGGCAGGAGCGACCTTCCAAGACCATGTCATAGTGGTCCAGTAGTTGTGAGAGTCAGGGGCGACCATCCAAGACCATGTCATAGTGGTCCAGTAGTTGTGAGAGGCAGGAGCGACCTTCCAAGACCATGTCACAGTGGTCCAGTAGTTGTGAGAGGCAGGAACGACCATCCAAGACCATGTCATAGTGGTCCAGTAGTTGTAAGAGGCAGGAACGACCATCCAAGACCAAGTCATGGTGGTCCAGTAATAATGAGAGGCAGGAACGACCATCCAAGACCATGTCATAGTGGTCCAGAAGTTGTGAGAGGCAGGAGCGACCATCCAAGACCATGTCACAGTGATCCAGAAGTTGTGAGAGGCAGGAGTGACCATCCAAGACCATGTCATAGTGGTTCAGTAGTTGTGAGAGGCAGGAGTGACCATCCTAGACCATGCCATAGTGACCCAGTAGTTGTGAGAAGCAGGAGTGACCATCCAAGAACATGTCATGTTGGTCCAGTAGCTGTGAGAGGCAGGAGCGACCATCCAAGACCATGTCATGTTGGTCCAGTAGTTGTGAGAGGCAGGAGCGACCATCCAAGACCATATCATGTTGGTCCAGTAGTTGTGAGAGGCAGGAGCGACCATCCAAGACCATGCCATGTTGGTCCAGTAGTTGTGAGAAGCAGGAGCGACCATCCAAGACCATGTCATGTTGGTCCAGTAGTTGTGAGAGGCAGGAGCGACCATCCAAGACCATGTCATGTTGGTCCAGTAGTTGTGAGAGGCAGGAGCGACCATCCAAGACCATGTCATGTTGGTCCATAGTTTGTGAGAGGCAGAGCGACCATCCAAGACCATGTCATGTTGGTCTAGTAGTTGTGAGAGGCAGGAGCGACCATCCAAGACCATGTCATAGTGGTCTAGTAGTTGTGAGAGGCAGGAGTAACCATCCAAGACCATGTCATAGTGGTCTAGTAGTTGTGAGAGGCAGGAGCGACCATCCAAGACCATGTAATGTTGGTCCAGTAGTATTGAGAGGAAGGAGTAACCATCCAAGACCATGTCATAGTGGTCCAGTACTTATGAGAGGCAGGAGGGACCATCCAAGACCATGTCATAGTGGTCCACTAGTTATGAGAGGCAGGAGTGACCATCCAAGAACATGTCATAGTGGTGCACTAGTTATGAGAGGCAGGAGTGACCATCCAAGACCATGTCATAGTGGTCCACTAGTTATGAGAGGCAGGAGTGACCATCCAAGACCATGTCATAGTGGTCCAGTAGTTGTGAGAGGCAGGAGCGACAGCGACCATCTAAGACCATGTCATAGTGGTCCAGTAGTTGTAAGAGGGAGGAGTGACCATCCAAGACCATGTCATAGTGGTCCAGTAGTTGTCAGAGGCAGGAGTGACCATCCAAGGCCATGTCATAGTGGTCCAGTAGTTATGAGAGGCAGGAGCGACCATCCAAGACCATGTCATGTTGGTCTAGTAGTTGTGAGAGGCAGGAGCGACCATCCAAGACCATGTCATAGTGGTCTAGCAGTTGTGAGAGGCAGGAGTGACCATCCAAGACCATGTCATAGTGGTCTAGTAGTTGTGAGAGGCAGGAGCGACCATCCAAGACCTGTCATGTTGGTCCAGTAGTTGTGAGAGGCAGGAGCGACCATCCAAGACCATGTCATGTTGGTCCAGTAGTTGTGAGAGGCAGGAGCGACCATCCAAGACTATGTCATGTTGGTCTAGTAGTTGTGAGAGGCATGAGCGACCATCCAAGACCATGTCATAGTGGTCTAGTAGTTGTGAGAGGCAGGAGTAACCATCCAAGACCATGTCATAGTGGTCTAGTAGTTGTGAGAGGCAGGAGCGACCATCCAAGACCATGTCATAGTGGTCTAGTAGTTGTGAGAGGCAGGAGCGACCATCCAAGACCTGTCATGTTGGTCCAGTAGTTGTGAGAGGCAGGAGTAACCATCCAAGACCATGTCATAGTGGTCCAGTACTTATGAGAGGCAGGAGTGACCATCCAAGACCATGTCATAGTGGTCCACTAGTTATGAGAGGCAGGAGTGACCATCCAAGAACATGTCATAGTGGTCCACTAGTTATGAGAGGCAGGAGTGACCATCCAAGAACATGTCATAGCGGTCCACTAGTTATGAGAGGCAGGAGTGACCATCCAAGACCATGTCATAGTGGTCCACTAGTTATGAGAGGCAGGAGTGACCATCCAAGACCATGTCATAGTGGTCCAGTAGTTGTGAGAGGCAGGAGCGACAGCAACCATCTAAGACCATGTCATAGTGGTCCAGTAGTTGTAAGAGGCATGAGTGACCATCCAAGACCATGTCATAGTGGTCCAGTAGTTGTCAGAGGCAGGAGTGACCATCCAAGGCCATGTCATAGTGGTCCAGTAGTTATGAGAGGCAGGAGCGACCATCCAAGACCATGTCATGTTGGTCTAGTAGTTGTGATAGGCAGGAGCGACCATCCAAGACCATGTCATAGTGGTCTAGTAGTTGTGAGAGGCAGGAGCGACCATCCAAGACCTGTCATGTTGGTCCAGTAGTTGTGAGAGGCAGGAGTAACCATCCAAGACCATGTCATAGTGGTCCAGTAGTTGTCAGAGGCAGGAGTAACCATCCAAGACCATGTCATAGTGGTCTAGTAGTTGTGAGAGGCAGGAGCGACCATCCAAGACCATGTCATAGTGGTCCAGTAGTAGTGAGAGGAAGGAGTAATCATCCAAGACCGTGTCATAGTGGTCCAGTACTTATGAGAGGCAGGAGTGACCATCCAAGAACATGTCATAGTGGTCTAGTAGTTGTGAGAGGCAGGAGCGACCATCCAAGACCATGTCATGTTGGTCCAGTAGTTGTGAGAAGCAGGAGCGACCATCCAAGACCATGTCATAGTGGTCCAGTAGTTATGAGATTCAGGAGTGACCATCCAAGACCATGTCATAGTGGTCCAGTAGTTGTGAGAGGCAGGAGTGACCATCCAAGACCATGTCATAGTGGTCCAGTAGTTGTGAGAGGCAGGAGTGACCATCCAAGACCATGTCATAGTGGTCCAGTAGTTATGAGAGGCAGGAGTGACCATCCAAGACCATGTCATAGTGGTCCACTAGTTACGAGAGGCAGGAGTGACCATCTAAGACCATGTCATAGTGGTCCAGTAGTTGTGAGAGGCAGGAGCGACAGCGACCATCCAAGACCATGTCATGTTGGTCTAGTAGTAGTGAGAGGCAGGAGTGACCATCTAAGACCATGTCATAGTGGTCCAGTAGTTGCAAGAGGCAGGAGTGACCATCCAAGACCATGTCATAATGGTCCAGTAGTTGTCAGAGGCAGGAGTGACCATCCAAGGCCATGTCATAGTGGTCCAGTAGTTATGAGAGGCAGGAGTGACCATCTAAGACCATGTCATAGTGGTCCAGTAGTTGTCAGAGGCAGGAGTGACCATCTAAGACCATGTCATAGTGGTCTAGTAGTTGTGAGAGGCAGGAGCGACCATCCAAGACCTGTCATGTTGGTCCAGTAGTTGTGAGAGGCAGGAGTAACCATCCAAGACCATGTCATAGTGGTCCAGTAGTTGTCAGAGGCAGGAGTAATCATCCAAGACCATGTCATAGTGGTCTAGTAGTTGTGAGAGGCAGGAGCGACCATCCAAGACCATGTCATAGTGGTCCAGTAGTAGTGAGAGGAAGGAGTAACCATCCAAGACCATGTCATAGTGGTCCAGTACTTATGAGAGGCAGGAGTGACCATCCAAGAACATGTCATAGTGGTCTAGTAGTTGTGAGAGGCAGGAGCGACCATCCAAGACCATGTCATGTTGGTCCAGTAGTTGTGAGAAGCAGGAGCGACCATCCAAGACCATGTCATAGTGGTCTAGTAGTTTTGAGAGGCAGGAGCGACCATCCAAGACCATGTCATAGTGGTCTAGTAGTTGTGAGAGGCAGGGGTAACCATCCAAGACCATGTCATAGTGGTCCAGTAGTTGTGAGAAGCAGGAGTGACCATCCAAGACCATGTCATAGTGGTCCAGTAGTAGTGAGAGGAAAGAGTAACCATCCAAGACCATGTCATAGTGGTCCAGTACTTATGAGAGGCAGGAGTGACCATCCATGAACATGTCATAGTGGTCCACTAGTTATGAGAGGCAGGAGTGACCATCCAAGACCATGTCATAGTGGTCCAGTAGTTGTGAGAGGCAGGAGCGACCATCCAAGACCATGTCATGTTGGTCCAGTAGTTGTGAGAGACAGGAGTAACCATCCAAGACCATGTCATGTTGGTCCAGTAGTTGTGAGAGGCAGGAGTAACCATCCAAGACCATGTCATAGTGATCCACTAGTTATGAGAGGCAGGAGTGACCATCCAAGACCATGTCATAGTGGTCCAGTAGTTATGAGATTCAGGAGTGACCATCCAAGACCATGTCATAGTGGTCCAGTAGTTGTGAGAGGCAGGAGTGACCATCCAAGACCATGTCATAGTGGTCCACTAGTTATGAGAGGCAGAAGTGACCATCCAAGACCATGTCATAGTGGTCCAGTAGTTGTGAGAGGCAGGAGTGACCATCCAAGACCATGTCATAGTGGTCCACTAGTTATGAGAGGCAGGAGTGACCATCCAAGACCATGTCATAGTGGTCCAGTAGTTGTGAGAGGCAGGAGTGACCATCCAAGACCATGTCATAGTGGTCCAGTAGTTATGAGAGGCAGGAGTGACCATCCAAGACCATGTCATAGTGGTCCACTAGTTATGAGAGGCAGGAGTGACCATCCAAGACCATGTCATAATGGTCCAGTAGTTGTGAGAGGCAGGAGCGACAGCGACCATCCAAGACCATGTCATGTTGGTCCAGTAGTAGTGAGAGGCAGGAGTGACCATCTAAGACCATGTCATAGTGGTCCAGTAGTTGTAAGAGGCAGGAGTGACCATCCAAGACCATGTCATAATGGTCCAGTAGTTGTCAGAGGCAGGAGTGACCATCCAAGGCCATGTCATAGTGGTCCAGTAGTTATGAGAGGCAGGAGTGACCATCTAAGACCATGTCATAGTGGTCCAGTAGTTGTCAGAGGCAGGAGTGACCATCCAAGACCATGTCATAGTGGTCCAGTAGTCGTGAGAGGCAGGAGTGACCATCCAAGACCATGTCATAGTGGTCCAGTAGTTGTGAGAGGCAGGAGTGGTCATCCAAGACCATGTCATAGTGGTCCAGTAGTTGTGAGAGGCAGGAGTGACCATCCAAGACCATGTCATAGTGGTCCAGTAGTTGTGAGAGGCAGGGGCGACCATCCAAGACCATGTCATCGTGGTCCAGTAGTGAGAGGCAGGGGCGACCATCCAAGACCATGTCATAGTGGTCCAGTAGTTGTGAGAGGCAGGGGCGACCATCCAAGACCATGTCATAGTGGTCCAGTAGTTGTGAGAGGCAGGGGCGACCATCGAAGACCATGTCATAGTGGTCCAGTAGTTGTGAGAGGCAGGAGTGACCATCCAAGACCATGTCATAGTGGTCCAGTAGTTGTGAGAGGCAGGGGCAGGGTTATCCTTAACTTTTTTGGGGTTATCCTTGACTTTCTTTGGGGTTATCCTTGACTTTTTTGGTGGTTATCCTTGACTTTTTTTGGGGTTATCCTTGACGTTTTTGGGTTATCCTTGACTTTTTTTGGGGTTATCCTTGACTTTTTTGGGGGTTATTCTTGACTTTTTGGGGTTATCCTGGACTTTTTTTGGGGTTATCCTTGACTTTTTTGGGGTTATCCTTGACGTTTTTGGGTTATCCTTGACTTTTTTTGGGGTTATCCTTGACTTTTTTTGGGTTATCCTTGACTTTTTTGGGGGTTATCCTTGACTTTTTTTGGGGTTATCCTTGACTTTTTTGGGGTTATCCTTGACTTTTTTGAGGTTATCCTTGACTTTTTTTGGGGTTATCCTTGACTTTTTTGGGGTTATCCTTGACTTTTTTGGGGTTATCCTTGACTTTTTGGGGTTATCCTTGACTTTTTTGGGGATTATCCTTGACGTTTTTGAGTTATCCTTGACTTTTTTGGGGTTATCCTTGACTTTTTGGGGTTATCTTTGACTTTTTTCTAGTTATCCTTGACGTTTTTTGGTTATCCTTGACTTTTTTGGGGTTATCCTTGACTCTTTTGGAGTATCCTTGACTTTTTTGGGGTTATCCTTGACTCTTTTTCTGATTAAACCTGACGTTTTTTGGTTATCCTTGACGTTTTTGGGGTTATCCTTGACTTTTTTGGGGTTATCCTTGAGTTTTTTTGGGTTATCCTTAACTTTTTTGGATTATCCTAGGTAATTTACATATATGTCACCATATATGATAATTTATATATACTTGGACCTAAGTCTTGTATTTATTGTAACTTATCTAATGACCATATCTACTCTTATTACCTTATTAATCTTAAGTTTGGCAGAAATGCTGTCTACATTAAGGGACTTTTGGCATGTACACCCAACTATTATATTACTTTGTGGACACATATCATGTCAAAATAAAATATATTATTATATTAAAGTTAGTTAAGTTGCTTAATCATGGGTCAGAAGGTTCGAACTTAAGTGGAAATAAAAGTTACATGACTGTGGGATATGCTAGGTTAAGTCTTTATATATATATGTGAGCCATTATTAGTTATATTCCCTCAGAACTATCATAACTTTGTGATTTGTTATATATTAAATAATAGAAAGTTAGTTATGAAGGGTTGAGTGTGGAAGGTTGTAGCTGCGGGAGGATCAACTCACCTTGATAACAACTTTATCATCATATATCTCACTTATTGACTTATATATCTGAGTGGTGAAGTAGTTAATGATGACTGTAGACTTTGTGACTTACGTCTACGCTGCTACTGTGGGCGTGGGCGGCCTGGTGGGCTACTTCAAGGCTGGTGGGTCATTTTCCTTGATGTTGGTGAGGGGCTCTTGATTTAGGGAATTGGATCTGTGCTCCAGTTCCCTGAATTAAGCCTGAATGCCTTCCACCCCCCCCCCCGGGCGCTGTATAATCCTCCGGGTTTAGAGCTTCCCCTTGATTATAATAATAATAATGGTGGGTCATTATACATCTTTACTCTTACTATTATGAAAATTTAAAACTCTAGTGCAAATATGTCACTGAGTTTTTTTCTGGATTATTCTGGTGGGTAATTTACACTGTGTGATAATTGTACTTATGTGTACCTGTGTCTAATTGCTGGTGTGGGGCTCTTCATCCTAGGAACTAGAGGACTTTTCTGGGTTATTCTAGGTAATTATATACATATACCTATGTATGATTATTTATGTAACTATTTATATGTACCTGAATAAACTTACTTTCTCCCCTTTAATTGAATCTGAGTGCCTCCCCTACCCCTGGCACTGTTCCCCATATGGGTTTACAGCTTTCTCTGACTTCTGGGTTATCCTAGGTGATTAACATATGTTACTATGTATGATAATTTGTGTAACTATATTTATGTACCTATACCTAAATAAACTTATTAAATCTACATTATACAGAGAGTGCTAAACCCACACTTGTGATGTGCTGCCTTACAGAGGGGAATAAGTTAAGATAAGATAAGATAAGATTTCATTCGGATTTTTAACCCCGGAGGGTTAGCCACCCAGGATAACCCAAGAAAGTCAGTGCGTCATCGAGGACTGTCTAACTTATTTCCATTGGGGTCCTTAATCTTGTCCCCCAGGATGCGACCCACACCAGTCGACTAACACCCAGGTACCTATTTGCTGCTAGGTGAACAGGACAACAGGTGTAAGGAAACGTGTCGAAATGTTTCCACCCGCCGGGAATCGAACCCGGGCCCTCCGTGTGTGAAGCGGGAGCTTTAGCCAGATACACATAAATATAATTATATAAATTGTCATTTGAATTTGAATACATAGTAACATATGTCTCAATTACCTTGGAAAACCCAAAAATTAAATGACTTATTTCCAGTGGAAGAAGAGCAACAGGAACCTCCCCTGAGGTGGAATAAACTTACTGGTGTGTAATACATATGTGTGCCCATAAGTAAGTTTATTTAGCTACAGGTATACATAAGTAAAATGATCATGCATGGAAGGAGATGCAACATCTCCTCGTTGAAAAGCACGGGCGCCCTAAGTGCGCTAAGAGATATAATGAAGTGTTAGGGCCCCAAGACTGTTCAACTGCCTTCCAGCATACATAGGGGATTACCAGTAGACCCCTGGCTGTCTTCCTGGCTTCAAGAAGGTGCTGAACAGGCACCTAAAGTCAGTACCTGACCAGCCAGGCTGTGGCTTGTACGTTGGTTTACATATGGCCAGCAGTAACAGTCTGATTGATCAAGTCCTGATCCACCATGAGGCCTGGTCATGGATAGCTCCATGGGGGCGTTGACCCCTGAAACCCCCTCCAGGTGTACATAGTTTAACATGTAAACTACCTAGTAAGTTCATTTATTAGGCACAGGTACACAATTTCGGTTATCATACAAGGTGTAAATTACTCTTGAGGATAATCCCAAAAAAGTCAGTGACTTATTTCCGCTGGAGTCCTTGTAATATTTTATTATTTAAAGTCTAGATACTGTAGAAATCAGTCAGAATTTATTTATTTATTTATTAATTTGAACATGATACATTGAAGTATAAAAAATTGAAGTGGTTAAGTGTAACTGCCAAAGCCCCTTGTATGCAGAGCATTATGGGCAGGCTTAAAATTTATTCATAAAACCTAAATAATAACTTATGCTCAAAACTGCAATAAGCAATAAGGCTCAGTAAGTCACTAACTACTGGTTAGTCAGTGTTACATCTGTTTAATTTATCTGCTGGATGGGGTGCCTGGATGCTGGAAAGGGAAGTAATGTTTTCCTTCCTTAGATTAAGCTTGACTACCTCCCATTTTCCAGGTGCTTTATGACCCCTACAGGTTTAGTGCTACTCCCTTATGAATATAATAATAATGGTGATTGATTCAGAAGTGAGACAGCAATACTACTTACTTACTTACTTACAGTATTGTCAAATAAAACCAGCTTTCATTCTATTCTGTCTGTTCTTCCAGCCTTCCTTCAGTTCCCATACATAATTGATAACACATCATATTCCATTGTATTTCTGTTGTAACGAGTAACTTGATGTTTTTGCATCTTTACTATCACTATTCAGTCACTTCACAAAATTGAAGATCATTGAATCATTTTGAAATAACATGCATTTATGATCGTAGTTAACTTCATTTTGATTATAATAATTTGATCGTAGTTAACTGCATAAGAAACCCTACTTAATAGTCTAAATCCAAATCTTAAAAAAGAAAGCCACTAATTATGCATTGCATAATTAGTGGCTTTCTTTTGTGCCTACCAATTTCTTATTAAATGTAAACTATACTACGTATTTGTACGTACTACAAACAGTAATAAAAAACTATTTTGTATTAATGTATTCTACAGGTAGTGTACCTTCCCTGGGAGCAGGACTGCTCTTTGGCTCACTCTTGGGTTATGGTGCTTACCAGATGAGTGCAAATCCAGCTAATTACTATCTTACCCTGGGTACCAGCACAGTCCTTGGAGGCATCATGGGGATGCGTTTTCTTAACTCTGGAAAGTTCATGCCCCCAGGCCTGATTGCAGTCATGAGGTAAATTTTATGGTTTCAGTGTAGATACTTTAGTGTACTTATTAATTGTTATAGTTTTGTTTGAGAAGTATTGTTTGCTTAAAAGAGAACCAGGTAATGTACAGTAATATGCATTTGGGATGCTAGAGATAGTTACTACAGTCTAGGCTTCAGAAATGAAAGTTAGAAATGTAGTGTTTTTAGTCACTAGTAAGATTGTTGTCCCAACATTTTTAACTATGTTATATAATCTAGCAGTAATAATGATTATCTTTATAAAGCTACAGGAACAGGGCAATGCTTATGGTTATAGATGTATTGGATGTGAAAATTTAGATATCCGCAAATGCGGATGTGTATGAGGATGTCTTACTTATTTTGCAGATGCAGATGCATATGCACATGTCTGTTTACAGTAAAATGCGGATGTGGATGTTAGAAATTGTGCGGATGCTCTGCAGATGTGGTTGTGGATATCCGATACATCTCTACTGATGGTGTCCTATCTTCATTAATACTGTATATTCACATATATTTTTTTTTAAATTTACAGTGATTATAGGATTTACCTTATGCAGTATTTATTCCCAATGTTTGTAGCACTGACTGCCTCATGTTTATAATACTCTACTGTATTTTAAAGATAGTATAATTATATTTTTTTCCTTTTATTCTTTGTTCTAGCCTTGCAATGGTGGCAAGATTGGGAGCACGAGCTGTTGGTTTAACAAATAGCAAGGCTGAGTGAAGCAGGTTCCTTTCAGGCATTGTTGTTACTCTTTGATGTGGCTCTTCATAAAATAATAAAGAATTGTATTTGATTGATGGTTGGTATTTTTACAGTGGGGTAGAGGTGAGGACTTAGAACACATTGTCTTCTAATGCAAAATAAATAGCATATTGATTACTAACATTAATTGCAACCCTCAAATTTGTCTCTAGTTTATGTTGGGGTCTGGGCACAGACCCATAGTAATTTTGTCTACCTAATGTGAAGAACCCTAAGCAGCTTTTGCACTTTACAAATTTTAAATTTTTGAAATAATTATTATATTGTATATGTTGCATTTTGTTATTCATAGTTTAATGTTTTAGTAAAGAAACATTTATAGATTTTGGTTTGCTTTCTCTGACTGTTGTACAGTTAGAGAATAAGTAATACAGTCTTGTTTTTAAATTTTAAATTACAATAAATATAGGTGATAGTAGATTTTTTTGTGTTTAATTACCATAAATACTTACTACTAGATAGTAATTTGGTAGACAGCAACTGCCCAGGAGGTACTACCATCCTGCCAAGTGAGTGTAAAATGAAAGCCTGTAATTGTTTTACATGATGGTAGGATTGCTGGTGTCTTTTATTTGTCTCATCAACATGCAAGATTTCAGGTATGTCTTGCTACTTCTACTTACACTTAGGTTACACTACACATGCGTGTACAAGCATATATATACACACCCTTATGGGTTTTCTTCTATTTTCTTACTAGTTCTTGTTCTTGTTTATTTCCTCATATCTCCATGGGGAAGTGCAATAGAATTCTTCCTCCATAAGCCATGTTTGTCATAAGAGGCGACTAAAATGCTGGAAGCAAGGGGCTAGTAACCCCTTCTCCTGTATATATTGCTAAATGTAAAAGGAGGAACTTTTGTTTTTCCTTTTGGGCCGCCCCGCCTCGGTAGAATACGGCCGGTGTGTTGAAAGAAAGAAAGACTTTCATGCAGAGTAAGGTACAATATTTTATATAACTACTGCAGTGTTTCATTGTAGCTTAACAGAAAGAGTTGGAGATGTTATATTCACAGGAAAGCATCAAAGCCTGGGTTTTGAAAAATGTTTACCTGCCCTTCTTTCAGACACTCCCACCTTTGCTGCAGATTTTTTTTTTTATATTACCTTGAAGGCAGTCTCCCAGCAAGAAGAGGCAACTCAAAGAAAACATTCACCCATATTTATTCAATCATTGTCACGACAGAAGTGTGCCATCATCACAATTCAGATACACTTCGAGTGCAACATCCTTACCCGTCCTTCAGAGTGCAGGTACTGCCCTTTCCACCTCCAGGACTCCAGTCCAGCTTGCTGGTTTCCCTGAAACTCTTCATAAAAGTTGCCTTGCTCATGCTCCAACAGCATATCCCTTAAAAAGTCACTTAATTTTATTCACTCCTACCTAACACTCACAAGCCTGCTGGATGCTTGAACCCCTAAAGTCAAAGCCTCTTTTAACCCTTTCTCCATCTGATCCTGGGATGACCTCTACTCCTCCTCCTACCTTCCAAATTTATGTGCCCAGATTTATGCAGCCCTTTTCATCATCCTATTCCTTTCTATCCTTCCTACATGCCCTAACCACCTCAGTCACCCCTCCTCCCCCCTTTAAATTATACTCTTGGTGACCGCACCACCTTTTAATTTCTATGCTCTGAATTCGATGCATGATATTCACACCACACTTTGCTCTTGAACATAACATTTCCACTGTCTCTAACCTCTTCCTAATTGCAATGATAAAAATCAATGCTTCACACTCTTACCAAACTGTTGGTACCACTATACTCTGATATGTTTCCTGTTTTGCCTCCATAGATAAACTTTTCTCTCCACAGATGGCTAAACACCCCATCCACTCTTTTCTTCTCAACTCGTTTATTATAGTTCATTTTGCATTTCATAGGACCATCTTTTGATATATCCACTCCAAGTATCTAAGTTCATCCACTTCATAATCCCTCTTATCTAGTACAGGTCGCCATCACTAATCCAGCATCATTGGGACCTGTAGTGTGCCGGATTGGTGAGTTTGCCGGATTACAGAGTGGTTAGGTTAGAATACACTTAATTAACCTATCAATAGAGACTCTTTCTGCTACATCTTCCTCATTTTCATCACTGCTTTCTCCTCCACTGGCTTGCTGCTTGTGATTTACAACCATCTGCACAATTTCTAACTCAGTATAATGATGAAATTTGAGTCAGTATGATGATTTGAGTCAGTATAATGATGAAATTTGAAATTATGCTAGTCGAAACTAGTGCCGGATTACCAAGGAACTGGATAACTGATTGCTGGATTAGTGATGGCCAACCTGTATTCATTCTGCCATTACCTTGACTTTTTTGTTGCCCTTATCACCTTGCTCTTTTCTATTCTCACTTTTAATTTCCTTCTTTTACATACCCTGTCAAATTCATCCACGAACTCATGCAACTTATTCTCAGACTCCCTCGAAAGAACTGTATCATCAGCAAGAGCAACTGTGATTAATTTAATACCCACTTTGTATCAAATTCAACATCTTTTAATTCCACACTTCTTCCCAACACCCTTGTACTCACTTTTTACAACCCCATTTATATTATTATTATTATTATTATTATAATCAAAAAGTAGTGCTAAACCTACCAGGGTCATACAGTGCTGTAGGGTAGGAATTGATGCGGGATCTAAGGATAAATAAGGGTGGAGATGACAATAAAGTTAAAGCTGGGAGGGGCTGTAAGGAGTGCTAAAGGAAGGATTATTAAAGTTTGTGTAATAAATCAGTTGCTGTCAAAAAGCTGAAGAGGGAGTCTGTGTCTAAGGTGGGTCCGTCAGCAAGGAGGGAAAATAAAGTAAGAGCGTTAGAGCGGTGACAATGTTGGAGGAAAATTCTGCATGCTTGTTGATAGACAGGATAGGCCAATAGAATATGGAAAATTGGAACAGGAACTAGACAATTCTCACAAAGTGGAACAGGCTGCCTCTCCATGAGATACCCCATTTATAAATACGTATACTAAACAGTCATGGTGACATCACACATCCTTGTCTAAACCACACTTTCAGTGGAAAATATTTTTACCTACATTGGTCATTTCCCAAAGGTTGGGTAACCCAAAGAAACTTACTCACAATCACTCATTAAATGCTTTGCAAAAAGTGTGTGAACATTAAAATAGGAATGACCCTTTGAATTACACCATGCCATTCATCTTTCAGGGTGAAGGCATTGTACTTCCCACCTCCTAGACCAAGTTTAGTTATAAACTAACACAGGTAAAAACCCTTAAAAATGGAGAGAAATAAGAGACAAAAGTAGGGTATCTTCACATCTTTATTGTACAAAATTATCATAAAACCTTAATATTGTAGCTTCATTTAATCTTTTGTTCATTAAGTACTGTAGTACTTACTAACAAAAGGAAATACTGGTAAGATGAATAATTACCTGAAGAATTAGTTTTCTTGTGCTTTGTGTATACTGTCCTTTTCTTATATTGATTATTATAATTAAAACAAGTGCTAAACCCATATGGATCATATAAAACTGTCTTTTCCATGGAGTAAATCCCTCTTGAATCATAATAAAAATAATGGGTAACTAGTTTGTTTAAATTATTAAACTTATGTCAGTGCTGTATGACCCTTGTGGGTTTAGCACTTACTTTTGATAATAATAATAATGATGGTGAAAGTTTTTCTTTTTCGGGCCACCCTGCCTTGGTGGGAATCGGCCAGTGTGATAAAAAAAAAAAAAAAAAAAAATAATAATATTAAACTTGTGTACAATAATACTCTATCATATCAACAAGAGCAATACTAAGCAGATATTTTCTTAGACTAGCCAAAATACTCAAGGCAAAATCTTTGTTTTCTCTATCTTCTATCCAGACTGTCAAGCAGTTGTAGGGGCAGTCTTATCTGGAACCAGCACCAAAAATATATGCTCTTGATACTTTATTTCCTTAGTAACTGGCTGTCACTGATGAGATGGCTTCATTTATAATGTTTTAAGATAAAATTTGTTCGTATTTTTAACCCAGAGGGTTAGCCACCCAGGATAACCCAAGAACCTCAGTGCATCATGAAGGACTGTCTGTCTTATTTCCATTGGCATCCTTCAATCTTGTCCTCCAGGATTCAGACCCACACCAGTTGACTAACACCCAGGTGAGGGTTGTGTTGCCAGGAATAGCAGAGGGTAACTTATTTCCCATATTATGGTAGTTAGGTAAAATTCGTTAAGAAACATGACAAGTGTTTCCTGACCTGGGTTTTATTCATATGATGACCCACCACTAGAGTTTTTGGTCATCTGACCAAAGTCTTCCACTGCATTACCACTCCATCCCCTTAAAAGTTAATTAGTTGTACTGAGCTTTTATGGCAATACATTGTTCACAGTTTGAAGCCTACTCCTACTTTTTGCTATCCTAGTTTCTGGAGCCAGTGACTACTTGATTAATAACAAACATTGGAAGAATTAAAAACACTTTACTGTACATATTAGCTTAACAAACAATTGAGCCTGTTATGTAACATTCTGCAGGTACAGTACTTTAGGAAAATTTTTTACTAGTCTTCATATTTTTTTTTTCAACAAGTCGGCCATCTCCCACCGAGGCAGGGTGACCCAAAAAGAAAGAAAATCCCCAAAAAGAAAATACTTTCATCATCATTTAACACTTTCACCTCACTCATACATAATCACTGTTTTTGCAGAGGTGCTCAGAACACAACAGTTTAGAAACATATACGTATAAAGATGTACAATATATCCCTCCAAACTGCCAATATCCCAAACCCCTCATTTTTTTTTTTTTTTCAACAAGTCGGCCGTCTCCCACCGAGGCAGGGTGACCCAAAAAAGAAAGAAAATCCCCAAAAAGAAAATACGTACTTTCATCATCATTCAACACTTTCACCACACTCGCACATTATCACTGTTTTTGCAGAGGTGCTCAAAATACAACAGTTTAGAAGCATACACATATAAAGATACACAACATATTTATTTATTATTATCAAATATTTATTATTATTATCAAATAAAGCGCTAAACCGACAAGGGCCATGGAGCGACCAGTCTTCATAGGTGTACCTATATGAGGAACAAAAAATTTGAAGTTTTTAGATTTAAAAGAAATATATTAATGTGTAACTATCCATGGCAAGAAATATTTTCATATATCCTTAAAATTTTTCCCTGCACTATTATGTACAATGTATTTGAAATACTCTTTGTATCTCCACAAACTGTATTCACACCAAATTTTGTTGTGACCTTAACACTACTACCCTCTCAGGTTTAGCACTTCATCTGATATTACAGTATTTATATAATTATCATCACAAAAATGCATTAAATCTGTATGGGTCATACAATGCTACTTATTAGGTAATAGAGATCATTGTCAGAGACAAATGTGATAAGAGTCAAGTCGTAAACATATGACATAAAATTCCCAAATGCCAATTAAGAGATGAATTTATAATCCTCTCGTAACTAGATCTTTTATGAAGTTAACAAGAGAATGAAACTTAAAAAGTCTCATAACTGACCACTATTAATTTTACTGAAAAAATTTATTATTAAAGAATGGTGGCATATGAAAAGGTAAAAGTAACAGTATTGCAAGAAAGATAGGGAAACAAATAGTATTTGATACACTTAAGATCTGTTCAGATTTTTAACCTGGAGGGTTAGCCACCTAGGATAACCCAAGAAAGTTAGTGTGTCATTGAAGACTGTCTTATTTCCATTAGGATCCTTCAATCTTGTCCCCCAGGATGCGACCCACACCAGTCCACTAACACCCAGGTACCTACTTACTGCTACATGAACAGGGATAGCAGGTTTAAGAAACATGCTGGGGATTGAACCATAGATACTCAGTGTACGATGCAAAAGCATTGCCTACCGAGCCATGGATATCCAGAAAAGATACAGGCAGGCCTCGCTTTACAGCATTTCACTCATACAGCAGTTTTCAATTATACCAATTATTAATTTATTCAGACTTCCTACAAAAAATACATACACCACTCACTATAAGCTAAGAACGAAAATATTTTAAGGTAAGTAATGTGTATTGTATATGCATTTTTTAGGCCTAGCACTAGTGCTCACTTAATATGATAGTGTAAACATATCAGGTTTTTATATGAAGTTGAAAGTGAAACAAGGTATTATTCAGTTTACAGCAATTTTCACTTTGCAGTGGTAGCCCAGAATCTAACTTGCTGTATAAGCAAAGCCCTCCTGTATGTTGCAGCAATATCACACTTATTTAGAAAAGAAAGTAAATGCCACAAAGGCCAGAAAATGATTGGATGGACAATTACAGTGGACCCCTGCTTTACGATCAGCTCCCAATGCACCACTTATGTAAGTGTATTTATGTAAGTGCGTTTGTACGTGTATGTTTCGGGGTCTGAAATGGACTAATCTAATTCACAATATTCTTTATGGGAACAAATTCGTTCAGTACTGGCACCTGAACATACTTCTGGAATGAAATAATATCGTAAACCGGGGGTCCACTGTACTTTCGATACAATAATGTCATGGTAACATTATTCAAATCAGTTGTGCACGCTTATTAAGAATATGGTTTGGTACTGAAAATATAATTAATTTTCCTATTACTAATACTACTGTTTTTTGTTTTTTTTGCAAATTACCTATTTATAATATTAACTGGCTATATTTTGATCAAAACTCATTCATACAACATGGGCACATAAACACCTGTAAACTTACATAGGCCTAATATAAAAGTCTAATACAGGAGGGCCTCGCTTATTTGGCACCCTCTTTTTGGTGTTCCATGTTTTAATGGCATTCAAATGAACCGTGTTCAGAGCTTTTACCACTTTTCCGCCATTTTTGCATAACAGTTGCATAAGGGAAGGGCTACTGGCGTCATATTTTAAGGTACGATATTGTATGTATTTTGTATATATTTTTTTTTCATATTTTTTATTATGCCTAGCTGTATTGACACTTAATATATGATATCGTGTTAACATGTTATCAGGCATTTTAGATGCATTTGATAATAAAAAAAAAACTGCTGTTTTCCAGCCACCTGCAATTGTTGCTTATCACATGGGGTCAGGAACCTAAAAGTCGTACAGATGGAGCCCTCATGTATACTGCATTTAAAACAACCTACTTGTTCAGATTCCCAGTGGTGTAGTACTATGGCAATGTGCAGGAATGGCATTCCCCTACCTTTTTATGAGGGTCAGGCATAACAGCCTTTCCTCACTATTTTAAATAAATGTAAAACTCAAAAGACTAATGGTTTGAAATTTTAATTCCCACATACGAACATATCCTAATTTTTTTTTTTCAACAAGTCAGCCGTATCCCACCGAGGCAGGGTGACCCAAAAAGAAAGAAAATCCCCAAAAAGAAAATACTTTCATCATCATTCAACACTTTCACCTCACTCACACATAATCACTGTTTTTGCAGAGGTGCTCAGAATACAACAGTTTAGAAGTACATATATATGTATACAAATACGCAATATATCCCTCCAAACTGCCAATATCCCAAACCCTTCCTTTAAAGTGCAGGCATTGTACTTCCCATTTCCAGGACTCAAGTCCAGTTATATAAAATAACTGGTTTCCCTGAATCCCTTCACTAAATATTACCCTGCTCACACTCCAGCTCGTCAGGTCCCAAATATCATTTGTCTCCATTCACTCCTATCTAACACGCTCACGCACGCTTGCTGGAAGTCCAAACCCCTCACTCACAACACCTCCTTTAACCCCTCCCTCCAACCTTTTTGAGGACGACCCCTACCCCGCCTTCCTTCCCCTACAGATTTATACACACTCTGTCATTCTACTTTGATCCATTCTCTCTAAATGACTAAACCACCTCAACAAACCCTCTTCAGCCCTCTGACTAATACTTTTATTAACTCCACAGCTTCTCCTAATTTCCAGTGCACATGACCTCAAAATATCCCAGGAAACTGGTCAAATTTCAAAAAAAAAAAAAAAAAAAAAAAATCCAGACTTACAGCAGACTCCCAGGTGTATAGGCTGCTGTGTTCCTCACTGCAATTTTAAATTACTGCCTCCAAATATTAATATTGCTTTTTAAATGTACAGTATAGTTTTGTTTCTTAAAAAATCATTACATTTAATAATCTTATCTTTAAACAACTTAGTTATGTTAAACTTACCATTTAAATCAACTTCAATTCAATTCAAATTCAAAGTTTATTCTCTATAAGGATTACAATTCAGCAATACATTATTATGTATTGTTGAAGTTTTAAGCTCTAGTTTTAGTCTGCCTGAAATACTCTGCAGAGATTTTTCAGAATTTTGTAACTACACTTTTTGGAAATAAAATTATTTTTTTATTATTATATTTATGGGGAAGCACTAAACCCATAGGGGTCATATAGTGTCTGGGAGGCATTTAGGTTCAATCCAAGAAAGGGGAGAGCAAGTCCAATTCCTTGGATTAAGAGCCCCTCACTGGCATCAAAGAACCTCCCTTGAGGGGATAAAATTAGTTTTGTCTTCTTTCTCATCACTCGAAATGTAGGAAATAGTATAAAAATGGTGGTAATTATGACAAATAATGACTCAAGATGATACTGATGAAAGGGAAGTAAAGAAAACTGCAAATATTATGAAAAAGCATCACAGTACTCTTGAATTAAAAACAGAAATAAGTAAAATACAGTACTGTAATATAATTAAAATTGCACTTGATAATTTTAAATTGATTTTTCTTGAGCTACACACAAATATATAAGAAAAGTGCGACACATGTGTAAAATAAAATAGATACCCAGCAAGAAATAGTTTTTCTATTAACTATCCAAATATGTATCACTTAAAAAATGGGCTTTCAGTTTGAACCTTGCAGGTGCCACAAACACTGGTCTTAATAAAATGCTGAAAACATAGACTTTACAATAATTTCCTTATCCGGGTATATAACCCACGTTCCTTCACCATATGTTCTTAATACACCACCAGGAATAGTGTAGGTTTCTACTTTTTGATCAGACAACTGAGAATCGATTAATGTTTCTTTAATAAGTGTCCTTTGTTCACATCTTACAACATTGATTAAATCAAAGCCTGTATTTACTGGTTTTATTCCAGGACCACAGGCAAGAGTAAAGTGTGCGCGACTTCCTCTACCTGACACTGGGTGAAACCTGTCGTCTTTCAGGTCAGCATCTACCTCTTCACAAGTTGGCCGACAGTCAACATCTTTCAATATGTTTCCAAGAAGTTCGGTTGTTGCATCATTCTGGTCCATACTGGGATGACTGTCTGGGTTATCGCTCATTCCAACGTGTTTTCTTGGTGCTGCTGGCTCAAGTATATATGCAGGAGGGTCTTCATTATCATTATTAGCCCACAGCTCTAACTGATCCTCTGTTAATTTTAATCTCGCTCCTAATGTTCTTGGTGTGATTACAAAGCCAATAATGTGGAGCTGAAAACATTGGCCCATGGCTCCTTTAACAACTGAACTGCTGATATATTCCATTGCACCCTGTGCTTTACCTCTGGCAGTAAACTTGGCTGTAGAATGCAGTATGTCGCCTCCATCAACAAAAGAATCTCGTGAGAAGAAATTAATGATTTCTGAAAAAAAAAGAAAAAAAGTTTCACTTAACTCTATACAAGTGGTTGCAGAAATTCACTGATAACTCCTTATTAATAATAGTTCATAAATGCAGTATTAGAATGTGGGGCAGAAGTTTGTGGTTATAGGAGGGTGGGGGCAGGAGGAAAGAGGAGTGATTGGTGGAATGATGAAGTAAAGGGTGTGATAAAAGAGAAAAAGGTAGCTTATGAGAGGTTTTTACAAAGCAGAAGTGTTATAAGAAGAGCAGAGTATATGGAGAGTAAAAGAAAGGTAAAGAGAGTGGTGAGAGAGTGCAAAAGGAGAGCAGATGATAGAGTGGGAGAGGCACTGTCAAGAAATTTTAATGAAAATGAGAAAAAAATTTGGAGTGAGTTAAACAAGTTAAGAAAGCCTAGGAACGTATGGATTTGTCAGTTAAAAACAGAGTAGGGGAGTTAGTAGATGGGGAGATGGAGGTATTAGGTAGATGGCGAGAATATTTTGAGGAACTTTTAAATGTTAAGGAAGAAAGAGAGGCAGTAATTTCATGCACTGGTCAGGGAGATATACCATCTTTTAGGAGTGAAGAAGAGCAGAATGTAAGTGTAGGGAAGGTACGTGAGGCATTACGTAGAATGAAAGGGGGTAAAGCAGCTGGAACTGATGGGATCATGACAGAAATGTTAAAAGCAGGGGGGGATATAGTGTTGGAGTGATTGGTACTTTTGTTTAATAAATGTATGAAAGAGGGGAAGGTACCTAGGGATTGGCAGAGAGCATGTATAGTCCCTTTATATAAAGGGAAAGGGGACAAAAGAGACTGTAAAAATTATAGAGGAATAAGTTTATTGAGTATACCAGGAAAAGTGTACGGTAGGGTTATAATTGAAAGAATTAGAGGTAAGACAGAATGTAGGATTGCGGATGAGCAAGGAGGTTTCAGAGTGGGTAGGGGATGTGTAGATCAAGTGTTTACATTGAAATATATATGTGAACAGTATTTAGATAAAGGTAGGGAAGTTTTTATTGCATTCATGGATTTAGAAAAGGCATATGATAGAGTGGATAGAGGAGCAATGTGGGAGATGTTGCAAGTATATGGAACAGGTGGTAAGTTATTAATTGCTGTAAAGAGTTTTTATGAGTGATAAGTGATAGGCCAGGTTAGGGTTGATAAAGAGAGGAGACTACTTCCTTCGGTAAAAGTATGTGTCATAGACAGGGATGTGTAATGTCACTATGGTTGTTTTAATATATTATAGATGGGGTTGTAAAGAAAGTAAATGCTAGGGTTTCAGGATGGGTGGTATTAAATTTTGGGGAATCAAATTCAAAATGGGAATTGACACAGTTACTTTTTTGCTGATGATACTGTGCTTATGGGAGATTCTAAAGAAAAATTGCAAAGGTTAGTGGATGAGTTTGGGAATGTGTGTAAAGGTAGAAAGTTGAAAGTGAACATAGAAAAGAGTAAGGTGATGAGGGTATCAAGTGATTTAGATAAAGAAAAATTGGATATCAAATTGGGGAGGAGGAGTATGGAAGAAGTGAATGTTTTCAGATACTTGGGAGTTGACGTGTCGGCGGATGGATTTATGAAGGATGAGGTTAATCATAGAACTGATGAGGGAAAAAAGGTGAGTGGTGCACTGAGGTATACGTGGAGTCAAAAAACGTTATCTATGGAGGCAAAGAAGGGAATGTATGAAAGTATAGTAGTACCAACACTTACATGGGTGTGAAGCTTGGGTGGTAAATGCAGCAACGAGGAGATGGTTGGAGGCAATAGAGATGTCCTGTCTAAGGGCAATGTGTGGTGTAAATATTATGCAGAAAATTCGGAGTATGGAAATTAGGAAAAGGTGTGGAGTTAATAAAAGTATTAGTCAGAGGGCAGAAGAGGGGTTGTTGAGGTGGTTTGGTCATTTAGAGAAAATGGATCAAAGTAGAATGACATGGAAAGCATATAAATCTATAGGGGAAGGAAGGCGGGGTAGGGGTCATCCTCGAAAGGGTTGGAGAGAGGGGGTAAAGGAAGTTTTGTGGGCAAGGGGCTTGGACTTCCAGCAAGCATGCATGAGCGTGTTAGATAGGAGTGAATGGAGACGAATGGTACTTGGGACCTGATGATCTGTTGGAGTGTGAGCAGGGTAATATTTAGTGAAGGGATTCAGGGAAACCTGTTATTTTCATATAGTCGGACTTGAGTCCTGGAAATGGGAGGTACAATGCCTGCACTTTAAAGGAGGGGTTTGGGATATTGGCAGTTTGGAGGGATATGTTGTGTATCTTTATATGTGTATGCTTCTATACTATTGTATTCTGAGCACCTCTGCAAAAACAGTGATAATGTGCGAGTGTGGTGAAAGTGTTGAATGATGATGAAAGTATTTTCTTTTTGGGGATTTTCTTTCTTTTTTGGGTCACCCTGCCTCGGTGGGAGACGGCCGACTTGTTGAAAAAAAAAAAAAAATTCTAATAACATATTTTTTAATATCCAGTAAGTTTCCCTGCATATTTTTCTTAATTTTACTTTGTTGTTCATATCAAATAAACATTTACAAATATATGGATCAACTGTCAAAACTGTAATAGATAATTTAACATCTATAAACACAAGATAATCATTTACTGTACTCCATGCTTCAAGTGCAGAGCCCCTTGAAGGGAATTCTTTTATTGTGTTCATGTGTTAATTTCTTTCCCCACCTCTTTAGTTTCTGTACAATAAATTGAAAACATCTATTCACTTTGACAGAAAAAGAATGGATTTCATACGCTAATTTCACATTTAGTGAAATTTAGTTTCTGATATATGTAAAAATGACACCACAATAGAGATAATCTTATAGAGTTTTCATATCTAAAATCTAACCAAACATTCTGTGTGCCAATCTAAAGGTAATAGTCAAAATTTTATACAAATAATATAAAGACTCCAACGCATCATCTGATACTAAGAAATGTGTGTAGCAAATATGGTATTGTTGCACTTATTTGTTGCCATTACAGAATGTAAAGACATGCAATGACCAGCTAAATTAATAACTGGTTCTAATGATACAGACTTATAATACAGACTTTCAACTGGAAGCTTCCTTCTAACAAGACTGGTAAGTGGTTCAAGGACTCAGGTGGATATGTAGAGAATGACTCATGTTATCCAGAAATGTAGTATACAGTATCTAAGAGATACAGTAATATTATAATGTGTAAAAATATCCATAAGAGAACCCTCCTGGGAGCATAATTAGATCCAATGTGCAGAAAATCCAACACTGAAACCAGTGTTAAGTACCTTCAACAGAAAGTAGTTGAGTGTTTTCTGAGAAATCTTGCAAGAAGTCATCAACACTGAGAGCTTGCTGCAACCACTGTTGTCCAATTAAGCATATCTTCTGAGAGTCCACTTCATTTAAGAACCACCCATAATATATTGGTTGAACTGGCTGGTAGGTATGAACCTAGAATGAAAAAAATATGGTTAATCTTATGAGAATAATAATCATTCACCTTGCAGCTTATACTTAATACATATAGAGCCTTGTTCTATCTACTCCAGGAACAAGTTTTCTTATATCTTTCTATTAGTACAGTAATATTTTCAAAAGTAAACATATGAGAATATAGAAAACATAGTCATCATACTTAAATTATGTATAAGATTAAATTAAAGGGAGGGTTTTTTGTACTTTTAAAGGTTGTATAGCCAGAGATCAAATTTAGTCAGTTTACTTGGTATACCATAGATAGTGTTCCCACTTTCCAGACATGACACAGTTGCTAGATCTAGCCTCCTTAGGAATACTAATATATATCTTGACTCACAAAATTGTAATAACACAATTGCCAACAAAGCACAGAACAGGTGGGGTTGAAACCCATGGCAGGTGAGACCTAAAACTTGCAGGCCAGTGTGCTGAACCATTGGTCCATGCCAGCTTAACAAGATTCATTCAACTAAGTATATTTGTATACACCACAGGAATGTTAACATGGGTCCCACTGTGACCACAAGCACAGATGATTCCCATACCAGCAGGGCTGTGGCATGCTCTAGCTCAAGTGCCCTCAGAGCTGCCATCATATCTACTGCCCAAGGTTTATTAAAAACCACAAGCACTAATCTTGGCCATTTTCCTGACAGAATTCAGGAGACTTTTTTTTCCAGTAAAAATTTCCAGTAAAAATTTCACCCTGCCTCGGTGGGAGACGGCCGACTTGTTGAATCTTTACATACTGCACATTTTGCACAGCTATTAACCAATAAAGCTCTATTTTTAAACTAAACAATGCAATTTATCTGATCATTATAGGCTAACTATTTTTTAGTTACTGTAATTTGTGCTAGGACACTTAACCCTTTCACTGCCGGTCCCGTAATATTACGGCTTGCAAGCCAATGTCGGTCCAGTAAGAGTATGCAAAAATTCTAGCAGCTTCTAATCTTGCAGGAGAAAGTTGGTAGGCCTACATATAAGAGAATAGGTCTGAATGGTCAGTGTGTGCAGTATAAAAGAAAATACAGCAGCACGCAGTGCATAATGAGAAATAAACTCTGACCGTGTTTTTCATTTAAAACAGCAACTTTGCAGTGTATTTTCGTATGGTATTTATTGTTGTACATATTTTCATTTTCTTGGTCTCATTTGATAGAACAGAAGATATATTACAGAATTAGAGATGATTTTGAATGGTTTATGGACTAAAAGTACCTTGAAGTTGGGTCTAATATGCTTTCACAAATGCACTGAAAGATTGGATATCAGATTGGAGGGATAGAGTGTGGAGGAGGTGAATGTATTCAGATATTTGGGAGTGGATGTGTCAGCGGATGGATCTATGAAAGATGAGGTGAATCATAGAATTGATGCGGGGAAAAGGGTTAGCAGTGCACTTAGGAGTCTGTGGAGACAAAGAACTTTGTCCTTGGAGGCTAAGAGGGGAATGTATGAGAGTATAGTTTTACCAACGCTCTTATATGGGTGTGAAGCATGGTTGATGAATGTTGCAGCGAGGAGAAGGCTGGAGGCAATGGAGATGTCATGTCTGAGGGCAATGTGTGGTGTGAATAAATGCAGAGAATTCATAGTTTGGAAGTTAGGAGGAGGTGCAGGATTGCCAAAACTGTTGTCCAGAGAGCTGAGGAAGGGTTGTTGAGGTGGTTCGGGCATGTAGAGAGAATGGAGCGAAACAGAATGACTTCAAGAGTGTATCAGTCTGTAGCGGAAGGAAGGCGGGGTAGGGGTCGGCCTAGGAAAGGTTGGAGGGAGGGGTAAAGGAGGTTTTGTGTGCGAGGGGCTTGGACTTCCAGCGGGCATGCGTGAGCGTGTTTGATAGGAGTGAATGGAGACAAATGGTTTTTAATACTTGACGTCCTGTTGGAGTGTGAGCAAAGTAACATTTATGAAGGGATTCAGGGAAACCGGCAGGCTGGACTTGAGTCCTGGAGATGGGAAGTACAGTGCCTGCTCTCTGAAGGATGAGTGTTAATGTTGCAGTTTAAAAACTGTAGTGTAAAACACCCTTCTGGCAAGATAGTGATGGAGTGAATGATGGTGAAAGTTTTTCTTTTTCGGGCCACCCTGCCTTGGTGGGAATCGGCCAGTGTGTTAATAAAAAAAAATATTTACAATAATGCAGTAGTCTGCTTAACAGTAAATCTTCTATTATTTGTGTGAATAAAAATTCAAAATGGAAAGCAAGCATAATGTAAGAGGTGCCTGGAGACGTAACTAATGAACAGAGAAAATGTTATTTTAGTGCTAGGAATGTTTGCATTGTTAATTCTGGACCCTATTTTGAAATTGGTCTTCCTTGAATTGGGTATGAAATTGGCCAAATTACCAATTTCTGATCACTTTATTGGGTAGTTGAAATTGGTAAATATGAAGTTTCTTGTACTCAATCGATAGACCAAAGGAGTTCTAACAAAATAGCTATGAGTTTGGTGAATTGAAACAATAGAATTGGCTGAAAATAGGGCTCAAAGTGGGCAAAATCGCCAATGTGTAAATAACGCTGAAACCGTTAACTTCGAGAGAGCGTAAGTCCATAAGTTTTTCATCAAATTTCATACTTTTGGTGTCATTACCATCAGGAAAACATTCTCTGTCATTTCATAAGAAAAAATAATTTTTTTAAAAATTCTTTGACACTGAGAGCAAGTTTGTGAGCAGGGGTCTCGACAGTGAAAGGATTAATGAATTTCAGCCTCAAAAACTGTAAAAGAGTTAGCCATAGACTGATTACACAATGACATTTAGCTGGGACTCTGGCATGTCCACATGATCCCAGACAGTTCAAATAACAGGCTAAATGATAATAAAAAAGGCCTTCAGTCCACGAATTTAGTAGTCAAATCCAAAAATTTAAGCCCTGGATGAAGAGAAGGATTACCTGTTTGCTTACTATTGTCTGATATTTGTTATCAAACTGATAGTAGAGATAAGCTCTATGAATAATAGAGAACTAGAGCCATTTTGTTATTCACTGCTTTTAATATTAAAAATTTCTAACATTAATCCCATGTCCTCAATACAAATTTTCACTCATCTATACAATCTGCTACTTTCAAAACCAAGGCACTCCAAGTTGTATCCAAGTTCATCAGATACAATAAAATCATATCTATGATTGTTTCAAACAAATTTTGACTTAAAAGGGAAATGACCCCACTACATAGGCAAAAAACAAAATGGTATGCTGGGATCTCAGTCAAGTGCTCAGAGTGCTTAAAACACATTACCACTACAGTATAGTGACCCAGCACTGGGAAGGAAGGAAGGAAAAGAGGGAGGGGTGCAAGTTGATATTTAGAGAAAATAACACATAATCCATCCATTATATACAATACACAGTAACCCATCCACCTGTTACACACAGTGACCCATAAAAGTTACACACAGTAACCCAACCATCCTTACAATGAGAAGGAATTATTATAATATTCAAGGAAAAGCACAAAACCCATAATGGTCACACAAGGCAAATGGAATGCAGGGTAATTTTGGTTGGTAGTACCTGAGGAAGAGAGGAGTATCTCCAATTCCTTGGATCAAGGGCCCATTCACTAGCATCATAGCACTTCCACCCCCATTAAGGGACAGCGAGACAAAACAGAACATAATCAATCTGGCTATAAATTGACTTAATATCTCATATGTATCAATACCAAAAATACAGTGCTCCTATGTACCTTCTGAGCAATAATTTTTTCAGAAATACCGTGTGAATTTCTGAGAGCAAGTTCACAAGGGTCCATAGCCCACGGAGTCTGAGGCTCCAGCACCAAAGGAATATAGCGATGTCTCTTTGCTATGTCAAGATAGAACTTCATTTCCCAGTTGCGCACATTTGTGTTGTCAATAATAATGACGTGAGAGTTTTCCTGTGCAGCATGGCTTGCCCTCTGTTGGCAAAATTCATGGGCGTCTTTGAGCTGGTCTCTGTCAAACTCATACCTATAAGATGCATAAAATGAAGAATAAGTGCAAAGTGAGCAAAGAAATGCATATTAGTGAAAGAAGTGCCAGTTGATTAAATAATAATGAAAGTTAAGACAATGGCATCAGTTATGAACTGGATGTACAGAATTGTACTTAATATACAATCACAGGGAACACCAATGAAATGTAATGCAGTAAAATTCTGAAGAAAAATATCTGTCATGTAGAATAACTAATCATTTGTACAGCGTGTATATTGCTAAATATTTATTGAATGAATAATATTTAATATATGCTTATACACAAATTTAAAAAAGTAAAAGCATAGTACTAACTCTCCATTGTGAATGAAAAATGAATCTGCTGAGCACACGACAGCACCTTCATACACTTCACTAAGCTTCTTTGCCAGGAAGGTCTTACCAGATCCTGGTATACCCTTCATAATCAACATCACCTGTAAGGCAAATATCAGAATTTAGTATCCATTACAACTCTCATAAAAGAAGTCAAAGTTTGTGTACTACTGCCAACATAGGACCAAGGTTTCCAGTTTAGCAAGTACATCCATCCCACACAATCCATATCAAGACTCTCCTCAATTAACTTCTCATAGCAATCTATCACACAGATACGTTACGACCATCAATAATTTTTTCTCATGCTAATTCAAAACTTACCATGATTGCTTCCATACCAAGATGAAGAAACTGCAAATAATTATAAGCTACTGAAACAAACTGTGAACAGAGACAAAAGGATGAAGGTAGCTTCAATTCTTTCGACCATGAGCCCTTCACCAATATCAAAGCACTCCCCTTAAAAGATAACTTTTTCATAAATTAATAAATTAATTAATTTTTGATAAGGTATATGAACATCTGATGTATAATGGGGTCATATTTATTGGTAAACGACACTCAAAAAAGTATTTATACTTTTTTATATGGAAGTTTAGTGCATTTGTGGTGTATACTTACATTTTCCTTGGTAGAAAATTGGCATGCCGCTGATACCTATGATAGCTTAAGTTTGGATAACTGAGTGTCAACTGTATTTTCATTAGTATTTTAACAATACCCTTGAAAATTAATTTGATATCAGTGTACTAACCTTGCTATTTTGAATAAAAGTAATAGTTTCATCATCATTTAAAACCGGAAAATCCAAGTATTGGAAATCCCCCTTGAGGCGCTTTGAGGGAGGTCTTTTGAGGGAAGTCTCAGGTGGGCTTGGACGTCTGAAGCCACGGCGGAGTGGGCTGCGAGGGGTTGCAAGAGGGTATTTGGGAGAACTATCTACAGGGATAAGAAGGGAGGAGGAGGAGGAGGAGGAGGAAGAGAACGTTGCTGTGTACTGTCAATGTGCTCATTGACATCTGATGATACTGGGGTTGGTGAGCGGTTCGCGGTGAAGAAATTAGATATACGGCTAGCTGTCTGTCCCATTGTCTCAGAGTTCTGCTGTGAATTAACATCTGAAAAAAGAAATGTACATGTTCCACACTACAGGAAAACAAATATCCAGTGGCATAATATTAATTAAGATTTTAACTCTTGTAAATACTATACTCCTCTATCAACCATGCTCAATTTCTATCTAAATAGTGGACAAGATGCTTAAAATTAGAAAATTGGGTTCAAGAGATGCTCAGAATCAGGGTATTAGAAAGTATTCATATTATTTAATAGTATCTTAAAAGGTCAACATAGGAGAGAGGAAAGTGAAAAGAGTAACAAAAACTTAGGTAATGAAATATTGGATATCAGACAGGGAATGGATTTGTCGGTGAGTGGATCTGTGAAAGATGAGGTGAAAATAGAATTGATAAAATCCAAAAGTTGGGTGATGAACTGAGGCTATCACTGGAGACAAAGAATGTTATCAATGGATGCAAAGAGGGAAATGTGTGAAAGTATAGCAGTGCCAACACTTTTACATGGGTGTGAAGCATGGGTTGTCAATGTTGCAGCAAGGAGGAGGCTGGAGGCAGTGGAGATGTTGTGTCTGAGGGCAATGTGTGGTGTGAATATTATGAAGAGAATTCATAGTTAGGAAATTAGAAGAAGGTGCAGGGTTACTTAAAGTATTATCCAGGGGGCTGAGGAGGGGTTGAAGTGGTTTGGACATTCAGAGAGGCTGGAGCAAAATAAGATGACTTGCAGGGTGAATAAATCTGTTGTGGAGGAAAGCAGAGTAGGGGTCATCATAAGAAAGGTTTGAGGGAGGGAGTAAAGGAGGTTGGGGCCTGGATATCCAAAAGCCATATATGAGCATGTTACATAGGAGTGAGTAGAGGGCAAGTGGTTTTTATGACTTGATGTGTCCAGTGGCTAACGCAACGATCTGGAGTTTTGAGACTCTCTGACCGTGGGTTCAAACTCCACCCATGGTAAAGTCTGAGTCCTGAAGGTGGGAAATAGTGCCTGCACTTTAAAGG